AAAGCCTAGACATTGCATATTTGACAGTTATGGCCCACACGAAGGACATCGAAGGTTCTTGCCGTAAAGGGAGTGTCCCACATTTGTATGGAGTTTTAAAGTCAGTCATCTTCACTTAGCCCCTACTGATGTATGTTGGAAGCATGACCGCGTCTACAACGCACTTTCCTTCTAGCCCATATAGTTCACGTGTTAAATACCTGCTTTTCACAGAGCTGTGAATCGAACTCCATCAGGCCAATTTCGATGAGCCCGGTACCAAACGGGGGATTGATCTTCTTGAGCCGGTCCATTGACCATTTTTGGTCTAGCGAAGCCAAACTCTTACGGCGTGCCAAGTCAAAGTTTTGGTGCACGGCACGCCCTGAATAATAATCGAAATAATCATAAGAGAAAGTTGTGTTCGAAGTCAGAACGTTCCCGGCATTTTCTACCAAATTCCCACGAAACATACTAAACTGGTTCTGATAGCCAAGACGTGCCAACAGTGTTGTTCATTGCACAACTCCTTCTGAGTTTCTTGCAGGAAGCGTGGGAACCACGTTCATTCAAACTTGCAATGCGTTCATTATCATGGCACCTGCGCCGCGCCACCTTCGGTTACCGGCTGCCAAATATGATGTACTAACAAGAAATCTAGCCTACATAGCACATCTGGAATATTTCTGGTTAAAGGCTGCAGCTTTTTTGTGCTGCAGTTTGCCCTTCCCGGTATGCATTACCCTCCCGGTATATATCATCTTCCGCTTACCCTTGTTAGGTAAACGTACCACCATCTCATTGGCCACGCGGTGTTTCAGGTCAAGAGGAGTGTTACGCAGAGTCGTTTCGTGATCATTACAGGGCTGTGGGGTGACGGAAAATGGATAACGTTGGGGCAGAACTGCATGCGCCTAGGAGGGGGGAGGGACGCAAGCGCCGAGCTTTACCCCGCGCAGGGACCCCCCGGGGTGTGCGCTGGACGCCCGATCGAGGTTCTCCCTTCGCAGGAAGTCTCTCGGCCCACCCGTAGCTGGCGCATACAACCTGCACCGGATAAGCAGGGCGTCGCGAGGATTCAGGATTAAGCAGGGAAGACGATAAGAGGGTTGGATGACCAACACGAGCCACGTTTTGTGCTGCTTAAGGCAAGCAGTTGGAGATGAGATATTACGGAAAAGAGACTTATGATTGAACAGCCTACGAACAGCGCCATAGCCGTACGATTGCTAATCAACAGTTTAATAGGTAACCTTGCTTCCGATCCTTTATGTCGGAGGGAGCGGTAATATGTAAAGAATATCACGGAAAAATATGCAAGAACGCCACAACAGGCCAAAACACGAGCACACAACGATATTTGCTTGAGCGGACACGCCCAGCGCCGCCAGCGCCTCTCTCGCCAAGCTGAAGCAGTAAGATTAGTGCTGGGGCTGCGATTTCGCACGGCCAGTTTGGCAGCACCTCCAACGTCAGTCAAACGTTCCATGACGTGATCATGCAATGGCGCATTAGGGAGCATATTTAATAAGAAGAGAAATTGTGTCGTCTGGAACAGCCTGTTCCACGTACAATTAAACCAACAGTTACAAGTGAGCTCATTTCATCTCATCTGATGATTCAATATCTTCAAGCGTGGAACACTCCCTTTAATTCTGGAACATCAGCGGGGTTAGTTGCTGGGGCCGCCATAGAGTGCATTCGCGATGGTGATACAGCTACATCATATTAGGATTTCCAGGGCCTGCAAAGTAAATCCATAACGTGGATAGATGAACTTTTGACAGAGCTCAACTTTGCATGTTGTGGAATCGATAGTGCCAATTACATTCCGCTGAGAGCAGATGGAGAACTGGCAGTGAAATATCTACAATCGCGCCACAAGCTCAATTGACTCTAAACACCTGGTCGCTCACTAGCCGACCAGGTGTTCAGAGTATATGCGATGACACGACCACCCCGATGTGGTGGGGGCCGAGAAGACGAAAGTGTAATGACATCTCCTCGTTCCTATCCACGCCAACCTGTCGCCCGGCGCAATGGCGACATCCGACACCACCACCCTGTACGGTAGGGTCGAAGACTGGGCCGGCACGCCGTGACCGGGGTCATGTCGCCGCAGGCCACGGCCGGGGCGCCGCCCGAGTAGGCCCGGCAGGCCACCACCCCCAGAGCCAGCACCAGCAGCTGCAGCGGACACCGACGCATCTCCTGACGGTCACAGACACGCGCGGCCAGCGTCAGGTCGTTTACACATCGCAAGGGGCCGTGCGCACACATGGGCCGCACCACAGCCCAACACCCCCGAGAGGCGCACGCGACACAATGTGACGCATCTGTAAGGTGCGGCAAGTTGCTCTGCTTCGGCCCAACTGGCAGAGACACACCTGGCTGCTGACCCAACCGCTGCCGAGGTCAGTGTGTCCGGAGAGACTCACTCACCGGGCGCGGAGTCGGCACGGCTTGGTCGGGGGAGAAGGCGCGCAGAATGTGAATCACGCTCGGCCGCCGCTGCAGTGATGGGGCGAATCACGCTCGGCCACCGCTGCGGTGACGAGGCGATCACGCTCGGCCACCGCTGCAGTGATGAGGCGATCACGCTCGGCCACCGCTGCAGTGATGAGGCGCCGACGAGCCGGCTTGGTCCCGGGGAGACGGCGCGCGGAATGTGAATCACGCTCGGCCACCGCTGCAGTGATGAGGCGCCGACCAGCCGGCCGGCGGTCGTGCGTTGCAGAGAGCGACGGATTCTCCAACCGCAGGCGTCTTCAGAGATAGCGGACCGGCGGGATGCCCCCGCGCGGCGCAATATTCGTCTACCTCTGGCAGTGCGACCATCACCGGAAAGCCGTTCTCTAGCGACCACGCGTGTCTGCGCAGGCGACAGACGAACGTTTCGCGGCAAGTTATTAAGTCAGATTGCACGACTCAGTGCAGAACGATACGTGTCTATCGACGCGCTGCCCCGGCCCCCTCACACAGCGCGGGAGGGTCTCGTCGCCCATCGATCCCTCCTCACTTGCCACGGTCGTCACACGTGCGCGCCCATATCGCCCCCGTCATAGGCCCCGCTTACGCGAGCATTCTAATGCGCCAGCAACTAACAACAGAGGCTTAACACGTGTATTAATCCCCACATTATTCAAAACATTGACATTAAAACTCGGAAGCGTTATTACACATCATGCAAGGTAAAAATGGACGGATATATTTCGATTGCAGCAGATCATGGTTCAACAGGCATGTCTCACTTTTACAAAATGCCACCCTTTTAAATGAAATCGTATTATCAAAGCACTGGTCAAGAAGGGAATATTTTCTTTTGAGTATGCATCCCGTGTAGGGCATATTACAAATGGACATTACATATGTCATCCCTCCTCTCCAACAGCATCACACAAGCAGAGCAGACGAAGGACGCAATAGTTTGTATATGCAGCGTAGGCACTGGAAAAGCACGTAACGTAAAATGTCTACTGCATTGATCATGTGCGCGTTTGTTCCATTCACAACCCGTCGAGTAAGTCTCTTTGAACTAACATAAAGCGTGGGCTGCTTAAATTGTCCTCAGACTGAACTTTTACGACCAACGCCCGACCAACTGCCACCGAAGTGCGCATTGTCAAAGAAATAAGCATCGCACGCGTGATTCGATAAATGGGGCAAGTACACTCGCCAGGGTACGTACTGACTTTGGTCCGTACCGTGGCAGGACCACTGCAGTTGGCGCACTCAACGTCTACAGCCCACGTGGACGGATGAGTACATGTCATGCCACTACACATAACACGGTGCGCGCTAAGAGCCCGCATAATGTCAACAGCAGCAGCGAGATTATCAACACCGGGACCGTGCGGCTTAACAGCGAGTCAGTCACCCCGCCGATCATCGGGCTGACGGCGGCGAGGTCTCTACAGCGTCCAACCCACTGCCAGGCCTCCTCAGCCGCCGGCACCGTCGATCCCCGGCGAGGGACCGGCCACGTACGCGGGGCGGGACGGGGCGGCGGCGGGCCTCGCCGCCGGCCCGCCCACACACACACAGACAGACAGCTATCGCCCAGACCGCGAGATCAGGCCACAGGAAGCACACACCACTCGGTGCAGACACTTCCTGCACGGCTGAGCGGGGCGGACACGCGAATGGATAGCGGCGTCGGCGCGGCGCAGAGCCGCGCCGGTCTATAACAGGGCCGAGCCGACCCGCGAGTCGCGCTCGTCTACAGCGCGATCGCGCCGACTGAAAGGACCCACGCCGATCAGTACCGGGAACGCGCTAATTTACGACGGGATAGAAGCCGGTCTGCAAGATCGCGCCGTGTTGCTGTCATCGCACTTGAATACTGTGCGATCGCGCTGATCTAAAGCAGGCTTGAGTATATCTACGAGAGAATCTTGTCGATCCACTTTTCTGCTGGCGCGAGGACCACCATCAACACCAGGAGCGTCACGAACAGCAGGTTGATTACGATGTAGATGCCAAGCACCGTTCGCCGCAGCGTTGAACCCTGGAAACAGTGACATCAGCCTGCCGTACGAACGATATGAAACCTCCATCACCCACCTGAGAGCCATTGCTGGAACTGGATGCATCTGGATGAAGACCCACTGGATAGTTCAGGACAGGTCTGACAGACTGGGCGGCTGAACGGTCGGGCCCAGGGCAGGACTGACCGGCGGTCGGGTCCAGGGCGGGACTGACCGGGCGGTCGGATCCGGGGCGGGACTGACCGAGGTCGGGTCCAGGGCGGGACTGACCGGCGGTCGGGTCCGGAGCGGGACTGACCGGCGGTCCGGTCCAGGGCAGGAATGACCGGCGGGCCGGGTCCAGGGTGGGACTGACCGGCGCTCGGTCCAGGGCGGGACTGACCGGCGGTCGGGTCCGGGGCGGGACTGACCGGCGGTCCGGTCCAGGGCAGGAATGACCGGCGGTCGGGTCCAGGGCGGGACTGACCGGCGGTCGGGTCCGGGGTGGGATGACCGGCGGTCGGGTCCAGGGCGGGACTGACCGGCGGTCGGGTCCGGGGCGAGACTGACCGGCGGTCGGGTCCGGGGCGGGACTGACCGGCGGTCGGGTAAGGGGCGGGAGTGACCGGCGGTCGGGTCCAGGACAGGGCCTGACCGGCGGTCGGGCCCAGGACAGGTCTGACCGGCGGTCGGGTCCAGGGCGGGACTGACCGGCGGCTCGTCGGGGAGGTGGGTCCGGTGCTCAGTGACCGGCTCGCCGCCCGCCGCCGCCCGCCAGCCGGCCATGTAAGCGGCGCGCGGCACCTGCGACATGGGCCGCCAGGGCAGGTAGCGCGGCACGCAGCGCCACCAGCCGGCTGGCGGCGGCGGCGGCAGTAGCGGCGCCCGGCACGGTCCGGCCGGCTGCCCATCCGAAATGGAAGTCGCTGTCCGAGCCGAAGCAGTGGGCCGCTCCGCCGCCGAAGAGGTCGTCGGCGGGCTATGACGGAAAAGGACAGGGCGGAGGAGGCGGCCACACTGAGCTGCACAGTGACGCGACATCTGCACCCGACCCACACCGCATCGGCCCGGCTCGCGGGCGCCTTCTCGAATCAAGCGGTAAAAAGGGCACGCAACCTTCAAACGTTTTGGGTGTTGCAAAATATCCCGCTCTACATAAACGAGAGGTGCCCGATTCTCCACCATTTGCCAGTTCATTGCAACCCACCACAAGCCCCCGCTGCTGCCTACACACTTTCTTCCACCAGGACCAGTCAGCTCCTCCCCACGGGGGTATCCCGGCTAACACCGGACCTGTGTGCAGTTTTGGCCCTGCCCGAGCGGCACACGCCCCCTACATGCAGGCGGTTCATCTAGCCCGGCCACTCACGGGCGCCTCCTGAGGCCGATCAGTCTGATAGGCGTGGTAGCTGTTCATGCCCATGTCTCGCATGTTGTACGCCTCGGCGTGGCCCTTCTGTCCGCTCAGAGTGCGGTCTGACCAGCACTGCTGCATCTGGAAGGACGGCCCCACAAGCACACTCAGGCCAGGCCGTCGCGGCAATGTAAGGGGGGTGGGAGGGGATCACAGCGAATATCGCACAACAACCAATGAAGGTGCAATAAGCACGGAAGTATTGTAACGCGCCGCCACTAGGGTTCCCCCCTTCCAGGACAACGGCATGTCACATATAAAATAGCTTTTCCCGACCATCCATGAACGAGTGCTGATGAATGAATGAACATGAGGCGCACACGAGCGGTCATCGGAACCGGCTTGGGTAGCTTGTTTCAGGCGCTTGAAGTACATTACTGCGAGGGATCCAGCGGCACGGTGTCGTGGCGAGCTGGCAAAATGTGACGGCCACCAGGACGGCACATCACACACCATATCCAACTAGTGCCGAGATGTACGACACGACCTGTCAGAATCGTTCTAATGCGCAAGGCGGCAAGCCTCCAACTTGCACAGCGACAAGACTGAACGCTGCTGCAGCTCGCTGCATGTGGCATGACCTCGCTCGCGCTGGTCCCGCCCGGCCTCTTCACGCGCGAGGCGGGTGACGGCCGCGCCGACGTACCGACAGCACGAGGTGCACGGCGACGTGGAAAAGCACGAAGGCGGCGAGCACCCAGTAAGCCCAGTCAGGCAGCTGAGCGGCCGGCAGCTGCACGGCGAAGAAGACGGTGGCGATACCCAGGATGTGCGCCGCCGAGCCGACCGTCCAGTGCAGCCAGTTGAAGAGGGCGCGGCGAGGCGTTCCCGGGTGGCAGCGGCAGAGCGCCATCAGCGGCTGCAGGACGGCCAGGCAGACGCAGAGCACGCCCAGCAGCGGGTGCGGGCTGGCGGCCGGCCCGGCCAGCAGCGGCGTGGTCGTCCACCCGCCCACCTGCCACACCACGCACGCCAGGCCGGCCAGCGTCAGCAGCACTGTGATCACCATCAGAGCGCGGTGGCCCTGGAACCAGAGGTCCAGCCCGGCCAGCTTGCGGCTCACCCACGTCTGCTTGTAGTAGCGCGCCAGCAGCATGCCCGTGCTCGCACGTGCCCACCCAAGCAGTCAGCATGAGCGCACCGTGCACGCGGAACAGCAGGCCACTGTCGCCGGTCGCCTGCCGGGCCGAGGCCAGCTCCACCGGCTGACCCGCTCACGCGCCGCGACGTCTGGTGGTAGCGAGGCCCGCCGTCGGCATCCACTGCGGCAGAGGAACGCGCTCAGCGGCGGCGAACGGGCCGGCCGCGGGCGGCCACGTCCGGCGCCTGTGCGCGAGGGCGTGGCCGTGACGGGCAGCGGGGCGATGCGGACGGGCGGGCCAGTCGGAGTTGCTGAGGTTCGGGTCGGGGCAGACGCAAACGGAGGCAGCCGTCGGACGGACGGTCCACGAGCCGTCGACGCGGGTGTGACGCCGCGCGTCGACAGAAGCCCTGCATACCGCTCACCAGCGCTCAACGCGTGCCCCACCGCCACAGCGTACAACAGACACAGTACAGGACCACATCTGTCCACGCTCGGCCCCGCCGATCGCCAGGCGCCACTGACCTGCGCCGCTCGACACCATCAGGTGCAGGTCGGACGAGGCCAGGTCTGCCGTCTCGTCGCCCACCGAGAAGCGCGCCGCGTGCGTGAACTCGCACAGCAGGAAGCCGTCGCGGTATTCGCTGGGAGAAGTCGGTCACCAGCTCACCGCCCTGTCGGCCGGGCGGCCACGGTGAAACGTGGGAAGACCGACCAGGACCGACTATGCAGGCCACGCTGTCGCCAATACAGCCGTCAACAAAACCATTTGGGCATCTCAGAAGAGCATGTAAAATCAGCTAAACGGTAAAACGGTCACAAAGATTGGAAAACCAAGTCGCTTAATACCTACACTTACATGCAGTACACGCATCCCGGAGACGTTCACAATGCTTACCGCGGACGTGGCGTTCTGCTGATTTGACTGTTTTCCCTTGTTGTGGGCGTGCTTGATCTGGTACCCGCCGCCCGGGCGGTCCGTGCAGTAGATAACTGCATCGTCCCCCCTGTCACAGAGACGGCAGAGGTCGTCACGCACCGACCGACGAGCCGGCCGTCAGTGCAGCCGACACGCCGTCCTCCGCCCCAGGGCAGGACAGCGTCAGCGGTCATGATGCTCCGTCCTCCGCCTCAGGACAGGACAGCGTCAGCGGTCATGGTGCGCCGTCCTCCGCCACAGGACAGGACAGTGTCAGTGGTCATGACACGTCGTCCTCCGCCCCAGGACAGGATGGCGTCAGCGGTCATAATGCGCCGTCCTCCGCCCCAAGGCAGGACAGCATCAGCGGTCATGACACGCCGTCCTCCGCCCCAGGACAGGACAGCATCAGCGGTCATGACACGCCGTCCTCCGCCCCAGGACAGGACAGCGTCAGCGGTCATGACACGCCGTCCTCCGCCCCACGACAGGACAGCATCAGCGGTCATGACACGCCGTCCTCCGTCCCGGGGCAGGACAGTATCAGCGGTCATGACGCGTCTAAAACCACGCCCTGAACGTTTCTGAACATGACCAATACACCTCTCAGATGTGTCAACACAACACATACATCCGTAAGATATCTTTCAGGCGTAAAAATACGCATACCGCTTCAGCAGCATCTAAGTAGCACGTAACACAACTACCGCACCCAGCCACCACACTGGTGAGGCGCCCCACCGGCAGCCAGCCAGCCAGCCAGCCAGCCAGCCAGCCAGCCAGCCAGCCAGCCAGCCAGCCAGCCAGCCAGCCAGCCAGCCAGCCAGCCAGCCAGGCAGCCCGTGTCCGCGACCGGCCGTCGCTCACCATGGCCGCGTCCCTAGAGAGTCCCATGGCCAGGTACTCGGCCGGCTGGTGCTTGCCGTACAGCTGCAGCCGGTAGGCGCCGTCCGGCCGGCGCGCGTACGTCACCATCAGGTCGCAGTTGCGGCCCTCGATGCAGCTGTCGGCGCGCGTGAAGCAGCCCTTGCTGAGCAGGCAGGCGTCGTATATGGTGGCGATGGCGCTCGCCTCCGAGCTGGCGCCGCCGCAGTTCTGCCGGTGGCGGCGGCGGCGTTATAGCGGGGGCTCGGTCGGCTTGGGGTCCGGGTCAATCCCGGGCCTCCACAACAAGCTGGCACAACGACAAACCGCCGGCTCTGCGAGCCGAGCGGACGATAAACAAAAACTGACGTGCTGGCGATGTGTGAGCGGCTGAGCACGAACACGTTGCACCTAGGCACAATCTGTTGGACACGTCCAGTTAGCCCCGACATCCTGTGACCTGGAGGGGCCCAGGCCAGGTCACACAGGGAGTGCCCCAAGCCTCTCACCCTGGCAGGAAGGGCGGGCACCGCGGGGAATCGAACCCCGTACCTCTGGTTTCCCAGACGCGCAGCGGTTAACACAGACGGGTTAACCACTACACTACCGGCACCCCCAGTCCCCGGGCACTGCCGGCCTCAGTCGGAACACGTCGTCCGTACCTCAGTGCAGACGGCCTCGGTGCTAGCCGGCGGCGGGACGGTGCTGGTGGGGGAGCCGGAGGCGCGCTGGCAGCGGCGGACGGTTCTACCCGCTGCGGGGTGGGCGTCGGGATGGGTCAGAGACACGCTCCACCAGCCGCGCTCCCCACCCGGCCGACGCCGCGCAGAGCAGAACAGAACGCGAGGGCTCCCGCGCACGAGCGTCGGCGACATCGCGCGGCCGCGTCAGAGACGGACAGACGGTCGCCGGAGCTCCGCTGGCTCCAGCGTCGGTCACCAGCACACGCCAGACACAGCGTTCTGAACAAGACCAACCGTTTACCACACCCCACGCCGCTAGTTGGCCAACGGAGACACAAACAACTAAAGCACAAACGCGGCGAGAGCGCCTCTATCTTCAAATCGAGCGGGGAAGGGCGGTGGTGCGGTCACAGGTGGGACTGGCAACAGGTCTGAGGTGAGCGAGGCCACCGGCGCCGGCCACGCCACACTAGACACAGCCCGGCTGCGGCGTCCGACCGTGCGCCAGCATCACTACTGACCGGGGACAGCCGGTCGGCGCCACCCTCCGCCTGCGCCGGAGCCGGAGATGGAGCGGGAACCCGAGTATCGGCGGTGGTGTCGGACGCCCGGGCCAGCCGCAGTCGAGGCGTGTTGTGTCCCACCCAGAAGGTGTCGTGCTTCTGCACCACGGTGACGCGGAACACGACATCCTCGTCCAGGTCGCCGGGGGGCCTGCCAGAGCAGCGTCACCGCCTCCTTCTCCTTGCTGTCTAGGTGACTGATGCCGTTCTGCGTGCAGAGCACACACAGGCGGAACGTCAAACGTCAATCAAGGGCTGAAGTTCGGCGGTATTTAGGACGGCCACAACCTAAACCGAGTAGTCACTCCAGAGAAGTCACCCTCCAGTGAGCCAACGCACTCAGCCGCAAGCGCAACCAGAAAAAAATCCAGATGACGAAAGGAAACCCCCTCTGAAGCACCAGGGAGAGCACGACGAGCGACTTTGTCCGACATCCACTCACGGTGACGCCGTCGTAACGCGATTCATTAATCCCACTTCACATGTTAACATGACATCAGTGGCAGAAAGGACCCTGCGCTCATGAACAAAACCACCCGCGCCGCAACACTGAAGACTCGGCCGGAGGACGCCGCGGAGATCGAAGGAAGAAAAGGAAGGCCAGGGAGGGCCCGTGGGCCCGCGTGGCCGCCAGCTCACGTCTTGGCCAGGCTCGCACGACACCGTCAGGTGCTGGCGCGTGAAGAAGCGGCCCAGCGCCGGCGACGAGTCCGGGTCCCGGGCGCGCCGAACTTGCAACGAAAAAGCCCTTAAACGGCGGCTGGTTGCCTCGTCTGATGGTCACCTTCACACTGAGGGGGACGAGTGACGAGGTCAGCGGCGAGCGGGCAGGACCAGCCACGCCCGGCCAGGTCAGCAGACCGCGACAGCAGGCGGGTCAGCACGAGCGAGGCAGGTCCTCTGAGAACATATGACATCGCATGTGGACAATGTCCCAGTGTGGTTGCTGGTGTCGGAGTATGTCCGGCATATAGCGGGGCGTCTGGTTCAAAACCTTCGTAGTCAGCGCTCAAAACTTTTGGAGAGGATACACTGTGGACTGGTAATATGAACTGACCGCATGGCACAATTGGTGACCCAAATGCACTGATTGGTTTTGTATTAAAACCGTTCTTCGAAGAAATGTCCGACCGCCGGGCTTCGGACAGCTACACAGGTAAGTACTTAAGGGGAGTTTCCCACTTTTGGGGCTTATTTCAAACATCCTCCAGTGAAAACTCCGCACGATTTAAGTGGAATAATGACACTGGCTAGTGCCGCCGCAGCATAGTCAATATATAATATGAATAACAATTTTCATAATTTTCCAGTCCAAATTACGCTGCCAACACTTTGTAACAGCACTAAGGTTCCTCCTTGCAGTCGCGACTACTGTCGTCACGACCACCGTGCGCACGCACCTCCAGTGGTGTGAATAAAAATGCGTTTGTTATTGGTCCAGTGGACGCGAGCTTAGTACCGAGAGGCGCATTGGGTGCAGTTTGGACCAGTGTGTCACATCAAGCATGTGCTACTCCCATTCTCCGACCCAAAGTGCGCCTCGAAAAGAGTCACTACGGCGAACGCCATAGCGGAGATATCAAAAAAAGTATAACGTTTCGTTGAAGTCGCGGGATAATAGCTTCATGTTCGCTTTCGTGTCCAAATAGTATTTTAAGCTTTCGTAGCACTTATTTCACGAACGTTTTGGCACGTGAGTGTGTTGCAAACATTGCAGAACACACACACGTTGGGCAAAAGTAAGGCAAATGAAATGCATTACTTCCATAGTGGTGAACAAGGAGTCAAACGAGATTTCTGCCGCAGAGTCGGTTGCGTCAAATCTGAGCTATTCAGAGGGATTTCGATAAAACTGGTATTACCGATCAAATCGTACATGTTTGATGTAACAAGTGAAAAGTACAAAAAGTCAGATACTCCCTTTAGAAAGCTACCTATGTATGCATCCGTGTGGCCATTCATTATGCAACGCATAACTTGAAATAGCTCGGTGTTGACATTCGTATCGCATGCCATTCGTATGCCGTTTGGAGTGTCACGTGTATGAAATGACATCGACAAACACAGCAATCTCCTAAGACCGTATCCAGAAAAAGGCAGCACATGTAACACCACTGAAAGGTACGGGAACGAACAGGGCTTCTTCCCCGTGCACGAAGGCAAGGACTCTCCGGGACGCCAAACTGTGCGAGTCAATCAATGTGACAGCAACTGCCCGACGGCTGATGACATAAAATCGTCCAGGCCGTGCGCAAACCGTCCAAACGACGTCCGTGGACCATCATAATACGACACAATGATGGGAACAACGTATTTCCAGTGCCTGGAAAGCCCGGCTATGCAAACGGCTCATGCTGGGCGAGCGGAGGAACGCACCGCAGGCGCAGCGTGGAAGCGTGCAGCCATGGGCACCAGTCCGGGACCGTGCAGTGAAACCATGCCTGCCGCTGAGCCGACCAGCCCGAACGAAATCCGCTTTCTGCCGTGACTGTGACAATGGACCCGGGATAGTCGTCCGGCCGTGTTTGTCGCCGGGCTCCGGGCCGCTGAGCGGTAGTGGAGTTGTGTTCGGACAAGGAACCCAGCCGCGGTCAGCTAAGGTGTGCTCCTGACGCCAGTCAACTCACGCCCACCAACCACCTCCTTCTGGTGATCGGATAGCGTCAATGTGACGAGAAGCATCCGTGGCTTATTGGTGCTTTAGGGGGCGCCGACACAAGGTCAAACCGAGGTGGGCGAACTGTCGCCGTACCATGTTTACCACACCATGTTTCAGCCACAGACGCCAGGAAGACTGCTGGGTTTTGAGGATACAGCGACCTCTTGGTCAAATCACACACCGGCGCAAAGCAACCCTAGCACCCCCCTAAAAACGGTCCTGTAACCATGTGCTCGTCCGACACCTATCAGTGTCATGCCCCGGCTCGCCCGCTGGCTCAGACCGAGGGCACGCACAACTCGGACCGGGGCGCCGAATCATCGCCACCGGTAACCGGCCGCGTTACCCAGCCGGACGCGGCGGCTGGCTGGCGATACCCGGTGAGCGGGTCCGGCCCCGTTCGCCCACGTTGCGTCGGCCCGGCGGAGGCGTCACGCCGGAACGGAACGTCACGCGCGCCGCGGCCGGCCAATGGGGACGAGCCCGCCAATGGCCAGCCATGCGGGAACAAAAGCAACCCGACCGAGCGCGCCGGCCCACCACCGACCACCCGGGAACTGATGTCGGCCCGACGCTCGGTCACCCGGACCGTCAGTCCGCCGCCGGCTGCCCGCCACCGACCACCCGGGAACTGATGTCGGCCCGGTGCTCGGTCACCCGGACCGTCAGTCCGCCGCCAGGCTGCCCGCCACCGACCACCCGGGAACTGATGTCGGCCCGGTGCTCGGTCACCCGGACCGCCAGTCCGCCGCCGCCAGCCTACCGAGCGGCGAGCTGTCCGACCGCAATCCACCGTCAGCCGACACCCGTCTGGGCTGGCGATTCATCATCATTTGGAGGTGAAACTAGCTGAGGATGCAGTCACTTATAGCGGGTATTCAACGCCATTCGTAACAGTTTTGGTGTGCTTTGAAACTTCCTTTTCAGGACTGGACGTGACAAGCGGTTTGGACGACCGCCATCGTGCGTTGGCCCGACGTTTTCTGCACATTGGCGCGACACCAGCGGAGTGACGTACAACAGACGACGTTTCAATGGCCGTGACAAACTATACCATTCCGCAGAGGGGGACATCGTTTGCCCTACAACACATCGCATGCTTTGAGTCGTACCAGACCGTTTGTGTCCCAGTGAGAGGGCCGTGTTCTCTGACGATGACTGACCCACAAGCAACAGGCGTCAGCAGCAAGCATTTCACCATTCACGACACATCACACGTCAAAAACAGGATATGTGAGACATGTGATATGAGACTCCCAGGATACGCAACCCATTGCATACGGGGCGCACATGGCCGCACATATTGCATGCATGTTACATATGAATTTGCACATGGGTCACATCAAAACGGTTAACAAAAGATTGCGTCCATTCTCCATAACGAACCATCTGAGCTATAGAGGCCACTGCAAAAATCGGAAGCAGCCACGCATTCCATGCAAAGCGAAATGGAGCAAGTGCTAAGCATTCAATGGCAACTTATGAAGTCAGCTAATGGGTTGCAGCGGGGCATCCAAGCGGATGGAAGCGACACCCAAAACAAACCGTACCGTTTCCCCTAACCTAGGCACTGCAACAGAGGCCGGGCACTTCATCAAGACCAGCACCAACTTCTTCCAACAATTATTATGTCTTACACCATTCAGGGTGGTTTTTTACAAACTTCTGTTTGACGCTCGGCAGTCAGAATCGACTCCGAAATCATGAGAAAGAAATAGCTAGGGCGCGCTGGAATCGATTCGCATAACCTTTTCTATAGAGAGAGTCAGAGAAAGTCAACTAAATCGCTTTTTGCGATTGAACG